AGGGAAACAAGGTGAATTTAGCGATCACAACGAAAACGGCCATGACACATATTGAGCCCAGAAAATGGATGTAACTAAGGGCTGTAAATATAATCAGCCTCTGTCTAAAATGGACAACATTGTTAGGAGATTTAAACTATACAGTGATTCTGCACTGCGGTCACTCCGCCGTCTCTCGCCTTTGTTTTTTCAAATCAGCTGCTCTTCATTATTCCTGCTATATTTGACGAGTGATACAAATATTTGTTACCACAAGTTCTTAAGGAAACTGACACTGTTGGACTCGGTACTAGTTTGACTTCTACCAGAAATAAAATGAAGTACTTTTACTGTGTACTTTGTGAGTAATCCTCTGTCAGAGTCCCCTCCATAGCAGGCTACATAATCATAGTACATAATGCATGTTTTCTGCTGTCTTTGATGAATGATAAAAATATAATTTTACCATTAGTTCTTAATTAAATTGATACTGTTAGACTTTGTATTAGCCTACTACTTACAATACATTGAAGTACTTTTACTGTGTATTTTTTGAGAAATACTCTGTCAAAGTCCCTGCTGAGAACAACATCAAGCCACTTCTGCTAAGTTTGATGAGGGAATTCTTTTTTGTTGCCATTAGTTCTTTGTGAGATTGATCCTGTTGGACTCAGTACTACTTAAACTACCCCCACAAGTACTATGAAGTACTTACTGTGTACTTTTCCAACAATCCTCTGTTAATGTCCCCTCCTGAGAACAAAAATGCATGTTTCTCTACTATTTTGAGTAAGCGTTAAAAAAACCTTTCTTCATGAGACTGATATTGTTGGACAGAATATTTTAAGAGGATATTTCCAGTCAGTACTCTGGCAGCAGCATTTTACACCTTGGAAAGTCTTTAGAGTCTAGCTAGCTGGTCTATCCTTCAGCACACTGACACACTCTGTCACTCTTGTTGGCTTCTTATGAAGCTGCTGTCTTTTAATATATGATTATTTCTCAGCCGCTTGTTCATTCCTCGCAGATTCTTCAGTCTCATCAGCCTCATCCTTCCATCAGTCCCAGTCAACGCCTCAGCCTCCAGCACACTTCCAATGTCTGACTCCATATGATATTGTCTTGATGTTGTAAGGGTGATGACCCATGATCACAAAATGACCCCTAGAGTCTGAGTGCCAAGGACCTCATATTATGTCATTAATGTTACATCACCCATTATAACAATTTGCTTTCCTTTTTCTCTTCTGTTAACTGAATAGTCCTGTCTTTAAGTATATTACAATGTAAAGTCCTTTTCCTGCACCATTTTTACTATATGTGTTTGGAGAAATGACACAATCAATGGCCCAGAATTGTACTTTATAAACTATGAATCTTGTGGTGCTTGAAGAAATACACACTGGCTAAGCTGGCCAGGTTATATATATATATATATATATATATATATATATACAGTGGGGCAAAAAAGTATTTAGTCAGCCACCAATTGTGCAAGTTCTCCCACTTAAAAAGATGAGAGAGGCCTGTAATGTTCATCCTCACTTCAACTATGAGAGACAAAATGAGAAAAAAAATCCAGAAAATCACATTGTCTGATTTTTAAAGAATTTATTTGCAAATTATGGTGGAAAATAAGTATTTGGTCAATAACAAAAGTTCATCTCAATACTTTGTTATATACCCTTTGTTGGCAATGACAGAGGTCAAACGTTTCCTGTAAGTCTTCACAAGGTTTTCACACACTGTTGCTGGTATTTTGGCCCATTCCTCCATGCAGATCTCCTCTAGAGCAGTGATGTTTTGGGGCTGTCGCTGGGCAACACAGACTTTCAACTCCCTCCAAAGACTTTCTATGGGGTTGAGATCTGGAGACTGGCTAGGCCACTACAGGACCTTGAAATGCTTCTTACGAAGCCACTCCTTCGTTGCCCGGGCGGTGTGTTTGGGATCATTGTCATGCTGAAAGACCCAGCCACGTTTCATCTTCAATGCCCTTGCCCTTGGAAGGAGGTTGTCACTCAAAATCTCACGATACATGGCCCCATTCATTGTTTCCTTTACACGGATCAGTCGTCCTGGTCCCTTTGCAGAGAAACAGCCCCAAAGCATGATGTTTCCACCACCATGTTTCACAGTAGGTGTTCTTTGGATGCAACTCAGCATTCTTTCTCCTCCAAACACGTCTAGTTGAGTTTTTACCAAAAAGTTCTATTTTGGTTTCATCTGACCATATGACATTCTCCCAATCCTCTTCTGGATCATCTAAATGCTCTCTAGCAAACTTCAGACGGGCCTGGACATGTACTGGCTTAAGCAGGGGGCGGGGCTTAAGGGGCGCGTGCTCTGTGAAAATCACATATTACACATATTTCTGGATCCATTTCAGATTTTAAACACACAAACATTGACACTTTATGATTATGATGATTATTAATATTATTAATAATAATAATAATGTTTTTGTGTGTGGTTTAGGAAGGGCGGCACCCTAGCGCCCTCTATAGGCCAGCCGCCACTGCTTATAATGTAAGTCTCGTGTCTGTTACATTTCATTTCTGGCAAATCTAATGAGTGGTGTGGTACATCTTGGGAACATTATGACAGACGAAAACGAAAATGGCACTCAGGAATTCAACAGTGTAATGAATCGCGTTTTTAATGCGCTCGACGTTGCCAGAAGGGATCTCGCAGCGCAGCGCAACGACAATGTTCTGCGAGTCACCAGGAGCACGTTCCGGAGGCGTCGGAGGGCACCAACAACGGGTAGGCTATATCAGTTCTTAAATGTGCATGAGCATTAGCATTGTCCATTTCATATTGTGCTGATGCATTGGTCTTAAATCATATATAGTGCAAGGCAAGCTTATTTAAAAAGTTTTGTTCACGTTACATTTGCAGTGGATTCATAATGTATCGAGTTTAGTTTTAACGTTTTCATTTGAAGTTTGAGCCGGGAAGAGCAAGCTAACTACTGCTGTGTAGCCTACATAAAGCCTACATAAACTTACTGTGCCAGGACAAGTTGTGTATTTTAAACCAACTGGATAAATATTACAGTTGTAATGATGACAATATTTAAGCAATAGTCGTAAAAGTATTTAAGCAGTAGTGTACTTGAATGTTATGTGAGAAGCTCCCTCAAATCTTTAAACAGGAATATGATAACTTGTTCATAATTATACAAAAATGTGAGAACTATGACAACTCAATTTAAGTATAAATGCTAACGTCCTTGAATCAACAGGTCAATTATACTTAGGGATACCAACTTTGTTATGTCTTTCTAATGACAATTAAGCAGTTATTACAAATAGCATACTCCACTAAATATAGCTGCTATTTGTGCTATAGACAGGCTATATCAGTATTAACAAAATATTTCATTTCAATTGTGAAATATTTAAATGTTATATCATGGCTTAGGACATTACATTCCGTAGCTGTATCATACGGTCATCCTCTATCTTTCTTTCAAAATGATAGGATAGACGATAAGTAAAGCAAGAGAAAGAACTTTACACATAAAAATGGTCATCCATACATTTTCTCCCTCCTTTCCAGACTCAATGGAGCAATTTATTAAATACAATTCTTCAATTTTGAGTGGTGCTTATTTTGTATAACCGTGTGTAATATTGTACATTCTGTCATTTTACAGGGGCATCAAATGAATCTGCCGGAGTTTGGAGGGTGAGACTTTTTCTGTTGGCATTGGCGGACCAATCCGTCCTTCCAGCACCTACAAAGAGCAGCCGACTGTCAAGAGAAGGTTTAGGTAAATAATTAAATAGGTTTGAAAAATGAGCATCCACTTGAGACTGATTCATTATCTGCACAGACAATGCACACAATTTTTGCACACCATTCAACTTCATTGAAGACTTTTCAATGTTTGATATGAATATTATTTCTGTATGGCCTGGGTGCAAGGTTGAAAACATTAAAAAATAATCTCTTTAATCCATCACCTCCACTTTTGGCAGCAATGCTTACCTTTACTGCCTAAAAACACATACACATTATGCCTATTCTATCATTGGCTTACATTGTTCAAATATTAATAATAGCTTTTTTCCATTCATAACAAAGTCAATGTCTAGGATGAGCCTTCATTCATATGGCACCTTTTTTGACCATATGTTCATAGATGTATATTTTTCACTTCATATAAAGACACGATATGGCTTAGAATCTAAATCATAGTTATTTATAGAGCCAGTATATTGACTGACACCTTCTTTTTCTTTTTTTTTACAGGAATCCCAGCTCATGACCAGCAAGGGGTTGTTTCAGAACGAAGCTATGTCAAGCTCTCAATGACTCTTTTAGAGTTCAACAGCTATGTTTGTCAAAGTTTTCCTACAATTCCCTTGAATATGATTGGGTTCACTCTGGCAAGAGCTGGCAACTCCAGGCTACTAACGCAACTGCAGGCTACTACTATGGCAGACCTTAAAAGATCTGTTGGCAGGAGCAGGGTTTATATAATCCCGCAGGCAGACATACCAACATTGTTAGTGGTGAGTTGTTGTTTTGAGCCTATTCTTTACTACTGTTACTATGTTATAAATTCTACATATATCTATGTTATACTTAATTCTTTAATATTAGGAGATTGATATTGGTTACTTTTTAAGCTGCTTGTTTCGTCCATCAAGTTCTCCTAAACTTTTTTATCATCCAACCCACAGATGGCCTCATCTTCTGCCTCTGCGGCCCTTAGACCTGCAGGAGCACCCTCTGCCTCGGCCGCCTCTACCTCGGCCACTGATTCAGAAGGAGCACCCTCTGCCTCGGCCGCCTCTACCTCGGCCACTGATTCAGAAGGAGCACCCTCTGCCTCGGCCGCCTCTACCTTGGCCACTGATTCAGAAGGAGCACCCTCTGCCTCGGCCGCCTCTACCTCGGCCACTGATTCAGAAGGAGCACCCTCTGCCTCGGGCCGCCTCTACCTTGGCCACTGATTCAGAAAGAGCACCCTCTGCCTCGGCCGCCTCTACCTTGGCCACTGATTCAGAAGGAGCACCCTCTGCCTCGGCCGCCTCTACCTTGGCCACTGATTCAGAAGGAGCACCCTCTGCCTCGGCCGCCTCTACCTTGGCCACTGATTCAGAAGGAGCACCCTCTGCCTCGGCCGCCTCTACCTTGGCCACTGATTCAGAAGGAGCACCCTCTGCCTCGGCTGCCTCTACCTCGGCCGCCACTGAAACTGCGGGATCAACCACTGCTCCCACACCCCCATCAACTTCTGTATCTATGGACGCTGATGTATGTAAAAAATATCTTATTATGAATTCATCTCAGGAGATTTTTGAAAATAAACATAGTAAAAGACAGTTGGATGTAATTGTTACCTCTTGTCAATCAACAGGTGGAAAGTTTGCATTCCGCACAATGGGTAAATGCTGGGACTCCAGAGGTAAAGCTTTACTGTATATGGCTGTATAGTTCAGTATTTGTAGTGTATATACACGTTGTAATAAGGACATTAATATTTCATGCACCATTTTTACTTTCAAGGTATTTTATAGAAGGTCACGTTTGGAACAACCAAACAGGTATTTATAGATAATGGTGTTTTATACATAATTAACACAGTGTATTGGTTTTGAATGTAAGCTAACTGAATACCCTGTTCTCATCCTTTATATATTATTATATATAATTATATATATATATATTATAATAATTAATTATATATCCTCTTAAAATAAAGAAACATGTTTTTTTTCTAGGAATTCATTCAATGACTTTTTAATTGATGATTCTGATGAGGAGGAAGAGGGCGAGGACGAGGCTTTTGGGACTTTGGAAAGTTATGTCTTTCCCGTGGTAAGTTTTATTTGTCATTATTAAAAAATAGGACAACATTTGTTTCCGGGAACTGATAATGACACATACTAAATGCAATAATTTCGCTACATTTCCGAAAGCACCAGTACCCAAGACAGACAACCCCTCTTCACCAATCACCAGTCATGTATAATGGACTTTATACATTTTAAATGATTTAGGAAGAAGTGGATCTGGCCGTCCTTTTAAGTGACTTCAGAAAGGAATTCGTTTCTGATGGCCTAGTCAGTAATATCTGCATCAGGAGGAAGAAACTTCTTGAGAGTGCAATAAAAGCCATCTCAAGGGTTACATTCTGCTGGAACAATTCCCCCTACATAGAATTTGTAGGAGAAGATGGAGATGACATGGGTGGACCACAGAGAGAGTTTTTCAGGTCTGAATAACCTCATTTAGTGTATGATTCTTAATCATAATGTGTCCTAGTTTTCAGGTTGACTGCAAAGTTATAGTACTGTATTTTTTTCTCAATTGATTTATTGTAGACTCTTGATGATAGAAGTACAAACAACCATGGGAATATTCGAGGGAAAGGCTGGTCAGGTCTTCCTTACCTATGACCAAGCGGCATTAGATGGCCACAAGTATTTCCAAGCAGGCCGCCTAATTGCGTGGTCAGTGGCACACGGAGGTCCGTGTATCAAAGCCCTGGATCCCAGCCTGTACCAGCTGATGTGCGGCCAGGAGGCTCAACTGGAGCAATTTGACTGCAGTGTGCTGCCTGATCCGGATGTTCAAAGCAGAGCAAAAAGGGTGCCTGATTATTTTTATGTTATTAATTAATATTTGTTAGGATTTGATAGAAGAAAATACATTCCTTCTTGGTCAGTGAAAGTTTGTAAAAGCATAAAAAGCATTTCCACTAAATCTTTGTAATTTATCAATCCGGCTACATTATGTTATCTCTAAGATCCTACAGTGCAAGACTGCAGAGGACCTGTCTGCCCTCCAGCAAGACTTGGGGGACTGGATCTCTGAGTGTGGCATCCCTGGCATCTTCAGTGCCACTATCGGAGACATTCCGAAGATTTATTCCTATGTAGTTAAGCACTACATATTTCTCAGGTAAACAAAAACACTTATAAACAAAAAAATATAAAATCATAGACATTATAAAACAATGTTAATATAAAAGCCATAACTTACTGTATGCTACTAATATTTAACATTTTGAACACTGAATATTTTGTGTTTTCCTTAACGTAGGTTAAAATGTTGCAAATTATGTATGCTCTTTCTTATTATTACTGCTTTTTAGTCCTTTCCAAAAAAACGCATCAGTTTTTCTTCAGGTTATATACATGTTTGATCTTTGTTGGCTTATAGAACGGCCAAGATGGTGAACCAATTCACGGAGGGCATGAATGCTTTTGGGAACCTGTGGGACCTGGTCAGGAACAACTGGATTGCCTTCGTTCCCTGCTTCACCAACATGAGGACCCCGCTGACAAAATCCTCCTTTAAGGCCATATTAAAATATGAATACAGTCCAAGAGGAACAAATCACCGGGAAAAAGAGGAGGACACGATATACAGCTGGGAGTTGGTCCTAAACCTCATCGAAGGTACATTTTATACCTTAAGGAAAATGTAAAAGCACCTCATATGAAATGACTATAACTCAGTAAATACTGTTATTGATGGATGCTTTACAAACAGAAAATCGATTTAATTTAATATCAATGTAGCTAATGCAAATACAAAAAGGGGCAAATACACATGTTGATGTCAATATACCATAAAGCCAAATAAATGTAAACTACATTATTGATTAATGTTTGATGTTAAATTACTTTAGTGATATTATTATGTTCCACATTTGACTTTAAAAATGAAAATAAATATTCCAATATACACTTTTGTCATTGGCAGACAAACTGACTGAACTGACATTTGAGGACCTGCTGATTTTCATCACTGGGGCAGATGAAGTTCCAACGCTTGGCTTTCCAAACAAGCCCTCCATTGACTTTTATACACAGGAGGCCGGTGTGCGTCGTTTGCCATATGCCTCAACCTGTGCTATGACGTTGTTCCTACCAAGAGGCATCACAGAGGAACAAGAGCTTCACAACATACTGAACCAGTCAGTGAAAGACTCGTTGGGCTTTTTAAAGGTCTAGAAAAATAGACAAGGAGGAAGAGAGGAGGAGGATTGGGAGGGTGTGCAGAGTATGACGATAAGATGAGGGAGAAAGTATTACTGCAATTTTGCACTGGGTGAAATTTGACATTATTGCCATAAATATGGAAACTGCGTTCAGGAAGTGCACTAATGATACCTCAATTGTTGCTTTGTTCTCGACGGTTCATTTTTGACTCCCTACTTATAAATGCTCTGATGTTAATACCATTTATTTGTTGTTTTTATTTGTTCATAAACTTAAGTCATTCTACAAGTTGCAGTTTTATGGGCGTTCAAGTGGCAAACAATTTCTTGTCCTGTGAGCAGTAACTTCTAACTTGGCCCTGTTTTAAGAGGGACCTTGTATTAGCGTGGTTCGGAAGCTCAGAATTGTGTTCCATTCCTTTGATTTGTTAAGTACTTCAAACATGATATGTATGTTGACATATGCTGTAAATCCACCTATAGGAATAATAAATCTGATTTTACATTTACTTGGTGCTATGATTTAAATGACATTTAACAAAATGAAGATAACAAATTACTTGCAAATTCAAGTAACACATTACATAAAAGGAGAGATGTTGAGTAAAAGAACATTAGTAATTTCTTCTAGAATTTAAACACATAATATGGGAGGTGTGTGGCGCAGTGGTTTAATGCGCTGATCTTCAAATCAGAAGATAGCAAGTTCGAGTCCCACTGCAGTCAGCATGTCGTTGTGTCCCTGAGACACTTCACCCACAGTATTGAGTATGTAAGTCGCTTTGGATAAAAGCGTCTAACAAGTAACATGTGTTAAAAGTATTATTTACTGAACCAAAAAGTCATTTTTCTAGTGTGTATTTTCAGTGGTGTTACCCAGTGTAGTTGGGGAGAACGGTATTGGAAATAGAAGAGGGGAGGAGTGTGGATGGTCATTGTAGCTCTCTTCACGACACAGACACAGGTCGGTTCTTTGAAACGGGCGTTTATTCTTGGAGTTATATCTTGTAGCCTATCATTTACAGTAATAGTGAATAATATCCCCTCACACTTAATAGTTTTTTGTAGTCACATTATGTTCTTTCAATTAGAGCATGTTTTGAATCTGTCTAACACAAAGCAGATACCTGTCCTTTAAGTCAGTTGTTCCAGTCATTGCATTTTGGAGATCTTGCTGTTGTTCAGAGCTCAGGATAATGTGTGGTTGTGGCACTATCACTGCTCGTTCAAGATCATCATTGTTTGCTTGCAACTGATCGAGCCGTATGCCATGTCTTGCCAAGCCATTTTCAATATTTTCTTGGCTGTAGGGATCATTTCCAAAGACATTGTCTATAGCTGTTGAATGTTGCTCCCTGTTGGCTAGCATGCCCTCCATCCAAATATGTGTTGGTGTACGATTGTTAGCAGTTCTTAGTCTATGGTTGTTCCACGCATGTCTGAATAAATCTAGTCTTTTTTGGATTTCTGGTTTAAAAACGATTTGTAGTGCCATTTTCTGAATGTCATCTTCGGGGTTCAATATTTGTTCATCTTCAAAGGAATAAAAAAGTGTGTAAAAATAGTGCACAACCTGCTGGAAAACATCTCTCCAAAGACGCTCAATACGTTGGTTGTGTACAGATTGGCCTGTAATGTGCCTCACTTCTCCGTTTCCCTGTAGAAGGTTCATCAAGAGGGCAACTAGAGTGTTCTCCCCGCCGTGGTCAGACCTGACTCTGGATGGTAACCCATACCGACAGGTAGCTCGAACAAAATGGGTTAGCACTGTCAAAGCTGTGTTGTCAGTGCCGCAGTTGATAAAAGTTACGAGTCTGGAGTTCCCATCAATTCCGGCATGTGTCACAAGCCCCCACCTGTGCAAATAATCGAATGAATAGAACAAGGAATTAATGCATTGCATTAAATACCTTAAAGGTTATCTTTATAACATTTGTTCAATATATCCAATACTTCTATAAATGTTGTTGATAAGAAAATGATTGAGATTATATAGTGAAAGAGGAAAATAATAAACAAAACTAGGCTGGATTAGAAGATTATAATTACTACTATAATTGCTTTCTTTCAAATTCAAGAGCTGATTACCGAATGAGACGCATATGGCCATCTATGTGCCACAAGCTGTTAGGAAAGGGCACATAGTAGGTTCTCCTAGCCACAGTCTGGCCCCATCTCTGTGCTGCTGCAGCTGGATCGATTTGCTTTAGAGTCTCTCTAACTCTTCTTCTTTGTACCACAATCCCTTCTGCGTGTAGGTATGCCCTCATCATCTGAAAGTGGTTAATTTAAAAAGACAAATAAGATACAGAACATTTTCTATAAAATGTTATATATAAACAAACTCTAAAACTCTAAAAGGGAATATAAACTAGTATGCTTACTTCTGAACCTGATCTAGGAAACTGGTTGTGGAGTCTCCTGACATGCTCTTCTAGGTCAGGATCACTAATGGTAGTGAATCTGTTCCTTGCTGAAGTATTTAAAGACATCATTTTTTTATGAAGGAATGAGGAGGAACAGCCCAACATCCTTGCCATTGCTCTCACGGTAAAACCTTGACCTAGGAGCAGCTCAATTTGCCCCCTCGTTATGTCAAGAGCAGGTCTTCCTCGTCTTCCTTATGATATGGAAATAAAAAAGGAAAATATATAATATCAATTATATAAACATGTATAATTATTATAACAGTTCATCAGAACGTTCATCAACAGAACAATGAGTTTTTAAATGTTAAGTAAGTCTGTTAACAACAGGTCACATTAATATTCATGTGAGTTCAAAGTTATATAAACTGGTAAAAAAAGTGGCGTAGTAATCATCAGCGCACTGCTTCAACGCGTGTATGTTGGTGTAATCACGGCATTAATTTTGTTATTCTACAGTATTCTTGTTTTATAGTTATTAACCCAATTTGTGTTCTTTGAAATTGAAAAAGATATCGCATTGTGTTTGTTACTTTCGTTGCAGTTGTATACAGTTGGTTTCCTATTCATGGACATGCTTTTATTTTGAAGGAGAGGTAGCGCTGTTGACAGGAAGTTGTTGTTGCTTTGGAAACAACGTGACGGAGATTAACGGAGAAAAGTAATATCTACATATAAAGACGGAGAAAGTAAACGATAACGTTTATGGTTAAGTGTTAGCACCCCCCGAAGAGGCACAAGCTCTTACGTTGATATTGGAGATTTCAATAAATTCAATTTGAAGAAAAAACGGGAATAAAACAAACAAAACGAATATCCGAATAACGAAATTGAAACCCGAATAGTATTCCAACGAACGAATATTCAGATATTCGAATATTCAGGTACAGCCCTAAAGTCAAGGCAAGTCATTTATCAATGTTAGTTAGTAATTCACCTGAATGCACAAGGTGTGCTGCATGGAAACCAGTATGTAGGGCATTTGAAGCTTGAGGTCCGGAGATGAAAGATCTGAGATCAGTGAGACTTTGAACTATATCCTGCACAGCCTGGGCGCCAATAGTATCTCCAACCCTTCTTACGTTAGCTATAGAGCTGTTGATAGCGTAAACTTCTGTTCGGCCCAAAGACCCTTGATTAAATGCTCTTTGAATCTCAGTACATCTTCTTCTTATACGTCTCAGTACAACGCCCGCCATCTTGTGTTTGAACTTCTGTGAAAATTGATGGGCGAGGTCTATCTTAAGAGCCAATAGGAGACCGATATGCATCCACTAGTTAACTAGTTGCAGTTCATATGGCTCACTAGTGAACGTGAAGGCCATACACGTTCACTAGTGAGCCTATATATGCAAATGAAGCAGGCGGGACCCAGATTCTGATTGGTCAGTTCAGCTCTGTGAGGGAGAGCCTTAGGGGGCATTCTCCTGCGATGTTTTTAGTAACGTCTTGAAGACGTGAGTTGCATCAGTCGGATATTTATGCCCACTGTTAACATATTGTCCGTGGGAAGTCAGTCAGTGTGTGTTTTAC